TGCCACCACCAAAATCCAGCCAGGCCAACCTAATACAAACAAGTTTTATTAAAACAACCCAAAATGACCCTGTCTCCCTTTGGTCTCTTCTGCTGATTCCCAAGCACAGAGGGTAATAGCAGATGTGAATGCAACATTCCTATCTTTGAGAATGTGCAAGGCATCTTCAAGCACTTTTTTCAGCACAATATACCTATACTTTATACCTCGGTTTTCAATCTTCCTTTTGTAGTAGAGTAGCAATATGATCTCTGGTGACTATCTATGGTATAAATTTTGGTATTAATGTCAGTCTCAGCAATGGCATATCAAACAGTGATGGTCTGAGGACTAAGAGATAAAGGGCTTTTACTGTAGCTGTCTTTTTGCAGCTTTCTGCTGCTGAAAAACCATGAAAAGCAGGGACCGCTAAATGAAGATAATTCTTGTAACTCAACAGTCTCCACTTCTGAGCTGGTGGATGGTGATGGCACACAAATATGGGTAGTGCCAACCACTTGATTTACATGCCATACTTCATAAAACCACTGAAGAGCAGATGCTGAAAGGTACTCCTTTAGGCCATGTAGTCCAACTCATGTGCTCAGAGTAGGGTTTGCTAAAGCAGTTCCCCAGGGCTGTGCTTAGCCAAGTTCTAAATATCTGTAGAGACCTTCACACATGGCTGCAGTGTTTGGCCACCCTCACTGAAAAGAAGTTGTATTCTGGTATTCAGCTCATACTTCCTGTTTTTCAGCATCTGCTCATTGCCTCTTGTCCTCTCAGTAAGCAATATTGGGAAAAGTATGGTGCTCTCCACTCCCTCCCGCAGATATTCACCCTAAACCTTTTCTTCTCCAGGCTGAACAGCTCCAGCTTTCTCAGCCTCTTCCCAGGGGCAATGCTCCAGTCCTTCAGTCATAGCTGTGGCCCTGCACTGAACTTGCTCCCAGTACATCTGTCTCTTCCTTACATTGGAGAGTCCAGTCCCAGCATTCCAGCTGTGTCTCCATTCACAGTGCAGAGTGGAAGGGAAGGATCACTTCCTCCAGCCTAATGCAATCCAGGATCCTGTTGGTCATCTTTGCTGTAAGGATGTATTGCTGGCTCATGGTCAGTTTGCTGTCCATCAGGGTCCCCAACTCCTTTTCTGCAAAGCTGCTTTCAAGTGACTAGCCCTCTAGTTACGTAGGATGCTTTTTCCTCTGGTTCTTAAACACCATTTTCTTTAAGATACTCACAATGCCTACTATACAGTGAGAGAAATTTTTATCTGCAGGACCTGGAATATTCTATACTGACAGGTACCTAGCCCTGCTGCACAATGTCATCCAAGTAAAAGAGCTCAAAAGTAAACATTCCAATTTTTTTTTACACTAAAAAAAGCTTGCAAATGAAAACCATTTTGCAATTCGTCAATAAGAACAGCTAACTGAATACATAGAATTCTTTGCTGCCACAAGCAGACAGTAAAGACAGGAAAGGTTTTCAGTTGGAAATGCGAGACATCAAAACATGTCTCAACAGGACTTCACCTTCAGAGGTAATCTCATATTTTACATAAATGAAATTGTTTTTAAAGTTGGTTTGCCAAGGTTTCCAGAACTGAAAAAGACAGTTTACTGTCAAACATTTGTCTCTTAAGGAAAGAAAAGAGGAATGAGATCGCTGATTCACAAAATGCTCTTTTCTTCTTCCCTAAAATATAGACATTGTCTTGTTAATGAATGCTGAATCAACTCTTATTTATCATGAGACAATTGCATTTATAACATAAAACAACAGCCCATTGTCAATTTCACCAAAACAACAGTTTAAGACAACCACAATGTCAAATGCCTTCCTCTAGCTGCAACACCTCAGTTGCTTTATGTTGGTAAGAAGGTTGTTGCCATAATATGATTCTCAATGCAAACTAGACCATGCCTAAAATCAAGTTTTATTCCTTCAGCAAACAGTCCCTCTGAAAAATCTAGGTCTGAAACACAAGTCAGAACAAACTGGCAATACTTAACAATGCATAAGTGGTCCCAAAGACACTAGAACCTTTACTCACCAGTGTAATCCAGCACAGCTGCATCCACTGAAGACAAAACAGTCGGGCCTTTTGTCCTGCTTCAGCAAAACACAGAACAAAAGCAGCAAAACTGCTATATGCCACCTTTTCTGTCTTTTCAATTACAAGGTGCCATAATATTCCCTAGAACAATCAGATAGTTCTTTTGATGGCATTAGACCATTTGCCTGCATTTTGCCAATTTCAGCCAATCTGTATCACATATCATTGCAGTTGTACATCCTTTATTTGTGAATTTATCAGGAGGACTCAAAATGGACTTAATTCATCATAAAGAGAGTACTTAATGGTAATGATTTCCATGTAAAACATGGCTGGATAGGTAGCAAGAAAATGAAAACAAACTGTGAATACAGTATGAGGTAGTAAAGCTTATTTACATATCTATTTAAGCACACTTCCAATTGCAAAATCTTGGATTAGGATGAAAAACTTTAAGTTTAATATTATAGTGCCTGAATACTAATCTGAAATTCATAACATCTTGAAGCATACTTAATCAAAGAGACAAAAAAACTCCAGTTGCTTGACAACAAATTAATTTTTATTTCTGTTCAACTAACAAATGAAAAACCACACTTCCAAAGAAAGCTAGATTTGAATTCATTACAGAAGAATGTTTATAAGTAGCTCCACTTTATAAGTAGCAAAAACCTGTATGCTGAATGGCAGAAAATAGCAAGATGAGGTATATGGATGGGAAGGTGATCAGAACAGTAGTTGCTGATAAAGAAATGTACTGAAAAAGAGTTGCTGCTTTAGTTCTCAGACTTCCTGCAGAAAGTGGTGACTTGCTTATTATTGATATCACAAGCAACTGTTGCTATTTCTTCAAAAGAAAGAAAGGAAAACCAGCAAGCATGTGGAATATCATTTACTGTTAATCAACACATCTCAACCAAAATTTTCATAATACTTGAAGCTCTATTTAAATATACAATAGTCTCAATCACAAAACCCAAGCAGAACAATTAAACTACATAAGGCCTTGAAATTAGAAGCACAGTGTGTATTGTTGGAATATTACTTTGTTTATAAATAGGCTACATATAATTAAGTTTATCTTTCATAGTTTTATTCACACAAAATGCATTCAAGGGAAAGGCAACTTATAAAGTTTATTTTACTACGGTTAATAGAAAAATTCTCTACTTGCCTCTTCCCCCATTCCATCCAGGTATGATTAGTAAAATTCCCATACAATTGTCAAAAACCAATAAAGTTTTACACTAAACATCCAAAAGTAAGCCTGATCAGACAATTGCAACTTGCAAATTGTTTATTACAAATTTGGATAAACGTGCAGGTTCTTTATAATGAAATATTGCATCTCTACATAATCAATGTTTAAAACTATGTTGTCCACAATGTCTCCTAGGTTCTATAAGTCTAATTGGTTTCAAAGAAGTACTTAGTAGCCTCAGTAACAATCATGTGAATGATATTGACTTTACAGCAATAACCTGTGGCATTATTTTGGCAAGATTAGGACTCCTGAGAAAATGAATGGGTAAATTCGTTTAGCCTGAAAGTAAGGGACAAACACAAGAAACCCAACAATTGAAGAAAAACTAAGCAGAAAAGTTACAAAAAGTACAGAAAGAGATCTATTTTGACCCTCTCCCCCTATAACAGGGCATGGGTCATTTCCAGTGACTGTCTATTCTTACTACATACATTAGTATTTACTCAAATTTCATGGCTATTACACTTTTACAGAATACCTGCTTAAAAGTCTGGTTTTTTAATTTACACCCGTGCAACAGAAAGTCACAGTAAATTGAGATGTTTAAAAAATATTTATAAACTCTTTTGATATGCTAAAGCATTTGGCAACACTTTTATAGGATTTGATTTTATATAATTAAAATCTCATACAGTACTCCTTTTAATTTTTTTTGTACATCTAAAAAGAAAAAAAATCTCACACAAACTAATATGAACTGCCAGACCTGACTGCGTGATCATGTAACTCCAGTTTATAATACTGGCATTAAAACCTTCATAATTATGTTAACAAATCTCATTACCTGTACGTTTAATGAAGGCAACCAAGATGATTTGAAAACACAACTTTCAGGTTTTACATTACATATTTATTAAGGCGTGCGGTTCTGCAGTGAAATGAAAAAAGCATATAAATATATGAAGAAAATTACAAGTTCACCAGCTCGTGTGACACAAACTGTTTTAATCTTTCAAGGTACTGTCCATAGAGTTCCACATCATTATGTCCTGCTCCTTCTACCCACAGCGGTTCTACAGGTCTCTGGCAACGCTCAAATAATGCTAGGCCATGTGAAAAGTCAATTACTTCATCTTCAGTCCCATGAATTATTAACACAGGAGATGTTATTTTAGAAATTTTGTCAATGCTGTAAGAGAAAGATTGTATCTATGAACACAGTGAGCTTTAAGTCTTTTTGAAAGACCAGAATAGTAATTTCACTTTAATTACCAATTGTAGTTCTAATAATTTAAGTAGTTTAAATCAATAGAAAATTCCATCTTATCAATACCCTGGAAAGCCATTACAGCAGCACATATAAAGTCACCTAGAAAAGAAAAACATTGCTGAAAACTATTAAGATCAAATAACAGTAAAATCCATCTAAAAGTTGTATTGATTTTTTTTAAGTGAATATAGTAATCAAAGTCACTGGACTGATAAAAAATATTACTTCAGAGTTTTTCAGTAAAAAAAAGTACTTGTCAGAAGTGAAAGAACTTTAGCACTTAAAGTTTTGACAATCTATGGGGAATAAAGTCTTTGAAGTTTGACACTCAAAGTACAACTCATTTTTTGAGAAAAGTGTACTGGTTTGCATGCCAAATACATAACAGCGATTTTCTTCACTTAGCGTGAACTCAGTTTTCCAGTTTTTGCTGCTTACAGAAACATACATAAAATACTTGGTTTACAGTTCCCCAGATTAACAATTGACTAGACTAGAACTGCTTGTTAGAATTAGTGATAGTAGGTGCTACATATAGGAAAACTAATCACTTCAGGTTTTTTACATCTTTAATCATTTCAGTGGGTATCTGTTAAAGAAGAATTACACAGTTCTGTGAACTCTTTCAAAGCAGATGTTACCTATTGTTGTTACTCAGCCTGATTTTTGCCCAATTGTTTTTTTAACCTTGAAATAAATTTCAAGAGAATTTGCCATATTTGTTTCCCTAGTCTAAAATTTCTGTACTAGAGAAAAATGCATGCAGAATAATAATAATAATAAAAAATCTACCACTTACTTCGGGAATGCATCAAAGCAATAGGTCTTCTTTGTATCAGGAAAAGCTACTCGCATTCCTGATGTCAGTGGAGAATGAAGAATTACAGCAGCACTTTCATACCTAGCAGCAAGATCCACAGATGGTACTGTTCCTATACTCTGGCCATATATAATCACATTTTCAGGGCGGATTCCATATCTAGAAAATTTAAAATGTTAACAAAAGGTAGCATATAAAGTGAAACAGACAAAACTGCAACTACATAGCAAGGCAAAAAAAAACATTTCTGAAGATGAAAACTTCCTGAAGAGAATAAACTATGAAACAGGAGATGGTAGAAGAACAAGCAAGTATATTCTATAACATTCCTGACTTTAAAGGCACAATTATTTACTCTGTATTTGCAATAGGTTTTTTTGCCTCATGCCTGAAAGTTACTGAAATAAGGGTTTATTTTTTGAAATATGGATTTTTGAATGCAGTTGTGACATATATTAGTTGAAAGCCTTTACTTGTAACTCTAGTGGATCTACAACAAAAACTGACTAGTTCTATGGTTACTGTCAAGTAGAGCACAGTTATATTTGTAAAAATTTCATTTGCTTTATTCTTCTGATACCTGATAAAAACTGCAAGCTGGTAACATTCCTCAGCAATTTAGTGGTACCTACAGCATGCTCAAACAGACAGTGGTCAGAATAAACATATATTTTATGTAATTCCTGAGATGCTTCTTCCTTATCAGTTGATTTGACATGCAAGCTGGCAAGAGGAAAAAATCTGACCCACAATTAAGACAGCCCAATAAGCACTACAAAATAAAGTCAAAGCCTCCCTCCTCATAAGATGAAAACACTCATTTTGTCTCTAACTGAAGTATACAAGAGTGACGAAACATTTAGTTAACACTTACACAAGTCACATTAATGTGCACACAAACAGCAGATGGTTCCTAAGTAACACTGGAACAGCCTCTAAGCTGAATGTTATGCTGGCAAGAACAGTGCCCACTGCAGAAGTGAGTTGATGATACACTGATCTATACTAACAAATTCCTCTTACTACAGGTTCAGACTGCAAGTGTTTCTATCTGAGTAACTTTAACTTATCTAGGAAATTAAGTTACTTAAACAGGTATGCAGTGCATTATCAGAAAAAAAAAAAATCAACAACCCACAAAAATTTTCTTACATATTATCAGAAGTTTGTTTAGCTTTCCAAGTTCAAGAAGACCACCTTAAAACCACTATGGAACAGCATGAGGTAAATTTAATAGTTGCCAACTGTCTATAATGCTAAAAGGACTGCCAATCAACTTGTTTCAGCTGAAGTGAAGGAACCTTGCAGCCATTACCTCTTCTGCAATAGATGCATCCACCTTTTCTTTTAAAGCTACATAACAACACCCATACCAACAAAGAGGTTCTCAAATTCATAAAAATCATAGAATGGTTTGGGTTGGAAGAGACTTTAAATATCATGTAGTTCCAAATCCCCTGCTATGGTGTCCTGTTTTGAGCTAAACAGAACTAATTCTATCTAGTGAATTTTACTTTTCAGCTCAGTTTCCTCTGAGAGAGCATCTGTCAGTGTTTAGTGGCTGGCCCAGCCCTAATCCTCGACACATCAGCAGGGACACTTTCCACCAGACCAGGTTGCTCAAAGCCCCATCCAGCCTGGCCTCGAACACTTCCAGGGAGGTTGTGTCCACAACTTCCCAGTTAGTACCTTATGCAGAAAAGCATACCCAGAAAAGCCAGGGAAACAGAGGTAATGGAAAATTGTCCAGTACGTTGTAAATATGGCTAAACAACTGTATGATAACTGTATAGGTCACTAAACACTTAAATCAATTAAGTCTAAAAGCCTCAGAAACAGGAACATTAAGGGGGGAAAAAAAAAAAAAGGTATTTCACATATACTAAGGCAAACAAATTACCAAACAACAAATAAACAAAAATCCACAACTACTTTTCAATAAGGAAAACATGTCCCATGTTTTACATCAGTATGTAAACCACAATTAATTTAAAAATACATATGTCAAGAAAAACAAAGTCACATTTCAGTATTACTAAAACGCAAGTATTACTAGCAGAACTCATTAGGCACCCCAATAAGCTTTCTAAATTGGGGCTAAAATCCACTATCCGCAGCTAATATCATCTACTTAACTATTCATCTATTTATTTAAAGTGTGTTCTGCTAGAGTGAAACATAAAGGCTTGTAAAAGCTTTAGCATCAACACATTCATAGAATCTATCTGTGTCATGACTGCTTAATTACTATATCAGCATTTCCTAGAAGAATTTGTAGGATCATAATCAAATTAAGAGTTCTAAACCACTAAGACTCAATCATCAGCCTGGAACTACAGGGAAGCTGCTCTCTACCTCACAACAGTTCTCAAGAGAATAAAAAGAATTTCAAACATTCTGATTAACAAAGATTTATCAAAATGCCAACACACAAAAATACAATAAATGAAATCTTTAAAACCAAGACAAATGTAAGGTTGTCACTGTTTCTGGATCTCTTCTGAAACACCTGAGAACAGCCTTGCAACTATCCTTTTACAATTAATCTCCCAATTCAAAGTAATTCAAATCACATTTGTCCATTCTGAAAGCATAGTATGGCCTTCTATTCCTTTCATATACGATGAATACCAGACACTTTGTATCATTAGTATGGATTAGCATAGTTTGCACAGCACATTATGACATAACGTAGTCCCGAATAAAAGCTTGCACATTATCACATTCATACTTCCTCAGATACTGAGTTTTGTAAGATGCAGGCCATTACAGAGAAATTTGAAGCAAAACTTCATAGTATATTTTGGAGCATGTATTCTCCTCTTTCTCATTATTCTTCTCCTATTTTTGAATCCAAATCCTCCAACCTAAAGATAGCTAAATATTAGCAACAGAAAGTAATCTAAGAAAAGCATTTACTATATTTGGATTAAAGTAATCCTTTCTCCATCTCAACAAAACAGATTGCCTTCACAGCACTCACCAGAAGCTATTTGTTTTGCTGTCTGGAAATTAAAATTAGTGAGACCAATCACCAAAACGTGATGGGTCAAAGCAAACTTTTGAACATTCTGGCTTGGAAAAAAAAAAACAAAACCAAAACCAATCCCAAAGCAAATCAAACCAAAAGGCTTGAAATCCAGTGAACAATTATCTGCTGTATCCATCTTTCAGTCTTCACTCTTCTCTTCACCACACTTCTGAAAATCTCAGGATAAAAGAAAAGCCCAACTGTCCCTCAGTTCCTCTATCCCAAAAGCATCAGTTTCTAATCCAAAATGCAAGATTTCTTGAAAAGATAGCTGTTGTTAAGTCCCCTAGTTATAAAATTCACCCACTTTGCCTTTTGGCAGTCCTGTAAACTCCAACAAGTTTGGGAGAAAATTATTAAATTGACTGCAGACCTAGTCTCCCAAATGAGAAAGTGTCAATCAAGAGAAAATGTGGCAGTAAGATTGTTCTCTTAATCAGTGCCTTAGAATTGCAGGCCAACCTGAGGAAGGGTAACACAACAGTTACAAAGCAATATGCTGTAAGTAACTGTTCCGGTGACAAGAGCTCAAAGACATGTTGTAAAAATGGTTGCTATCTTTGAAAGCAGGAGTAATGTAAACACTATTGTCTACTCAAGTAATCTTAGATTATCTAACTTTTATCAGAATAGACAGGCCTTCAGTTTATTGCTGGTGGTAATGATAGGCTTTGTTATGTTTGGGGTTTTTTAAGCCATAATCACCAGAAAGGACCTTGGACCAAAATCTGAAAAGTAGCCACATACAGATACACCTTCTCAGAGAAAGCACTTTTACCATATAATCATAGAACAGTTTGAGCTGGAAAGGACCTTAACAACCACCTAGTTCCAACCCGCTGCCATAGGCACGGATACCTCCCACCAGACTAAGCTGTTCAAAGCCCCATCCAACCTGGCCTTGAACACTTCCAGGGATGAGGCATACACTGCTTCCCTAGGAAACCTGTACCAGTGTCTCACCACCCTCATAGTAAAGAGCTTCTTCCTAATACCTAAATCTACCCTTCTCTAGTTTAAAACCACTCTCCCTTGTTCTATCACCACATGCCCTTATAAAAAGCTCCTCTCCACTTTCCCTGTAGGCCTCCTTTAGGTACTGGAAGGCTGCTACACAGTTTCCCTGGAGCCTTCTCTTCTCTAGGCTGAACAGCCCCAGCTGCCTCAGCCTGTCATCATAGGGCAGATGCTCCAGGTCCTCTGATCATCTGTCATAGTTTAAGCTGGCTGCCCAGAGAGGCAACAAAGAACTTTGCAGCTGCTCAGTCAATCCTCCCTCAACCAACATCCTTTTAGGGATTGGGAGGGAGAAAACTCAACAAAAAGGACTGAGATGGGGACAGGGAGGATTCATTCACCGCGTACAGTCACTTATAGGCAAAAACCAAAGTAGACTTGGGGAGAACACAAATTTAACATATCACAACCAGTTATCAATTAGGTCAGAACAGAATAACGAGAGGAATACATAAATATATACAACCTGATGTTACATACACTTTTCCCCTACTCCTCCCCTCTTCCCAGATACCTTCTCTCCCCCATTGGTGCAAGGAGGGGAAGGGAGTGGCGGGGGAGCCATTACTCATTGTCCATGGCAGTCCCTCCTTCTTGGAGAAGAGGGCTCCACACAGCATTCCTGATGCCAAATGGCATCTCACAGGAGGCAATCCTCTCCCTCCAAGTGAGTTCTTCCTACCAGTGACATTTTGCCACCGTCCATGTCCTCAGCTGGCAGGCAATCATCTCTTGCCATCTCACTCACCACAGTACTCCGGAGAAATGCTCTGCTCACGTGCTTTCTTCCCACCTTTGACCCTACTGACCACGTGTCTTGCTCTCCTCTTTCTTACCTCCCACTTCTCCAGAAGGAAAAAATTCCCCAACACAAAAGACAGGGTACAGAGAAAAAAAAACAAAAGAGGGAGTGGCCCAAGCAGTTTCCCCACTTAAATACATTGATTGCAGAGGTGCTGATTGGCCTGGCCTTGTCCAGAGGTGGGTCTAACTTCTTACCTGTGGATAGGGGAGGGTCTGTAAGTTTCACAGGAGTCATCCCCCATAGCCCTCCCCCCGCTAGCAAAAACTCTGCCAGACTCAAACTCCTGACACCATCTTTGTGGCCTTCCCCTCAACCTGCTCCAACTGGTCCATATTATTCTTGTGTTGGGAGCTCCACAGCTGGAGACAGTACTATGGACCAGGTCTCACAAGAGTAGAGCAGAGGGGCAGAATCACCTCCCTTGACCTGTTGGCCACACTTCTTTCGATGCAGCCCAGGACATGATTGGCTTTTTGGGTTGCCAGCACACATTGCTGGCTTGTGTTAAGTGCTACATCAAGCAGCGCCCAAAATTCCTGCAGGGCTGCTCTCAATCTGCTTGTTGCCCAGCCTGTATTTGTGCTTAGGATTGCCCCTACCCAGGTGCAGGACCTTGCACTTGTAGAACTACATGAGTTTTCCACAGGCCCCCCTCTCCAGCCTGTCAAGGTCCCTCTCAATGGCATCCCTTCTCTCCAGCATGCTGACAGGACCACACAGCTTGGTGTCGTTTGCAAACTTGCTGAGGGTCCACTCTATCCCACTGCCCATGTTGCTAACAAAGATGTTAAACAGCACTGATCCAAATACCAATCCCTGAGGGACTCCACTCAGCACTGGCCTCCATTTGGATGCTGAGCCATTGATCACAACTCTTTGAGAGTAGCCATCTGGCCAATTCCTTATACACCAAGTGGTCCATCCGTCAAATCCATGTCCTTCCAGTTTAGAGGCTAGGATGGCATGTAGGAGAGTGTCAAATGCTTTGCACAAGTCCAGGAAGATAATATCAGTTGCTCTTCCCTCTACTCACCAATGCTGTAACCCTATCATAAAAAGCCACCAAATTTGTTCAGGCAAGATCTTCCCTTGGTGAAGCCATGCTGGCTGCCACCACCTCCTCATTTTCCATGCTCCCTAGCAGAGCCTTCAGGAATATCTGCTCCATTATCCTGCCAGGCACTGAGGAAAGACTGACTGGCCTGTAGTTTTCCAGGTCTTCCTCTTCTCTTTTTTTGAAAATGGGGGTTGTTTCCTGTTTTTCAGGCAGTGGGAACTTCACCAGACTGCCATGACTTTTCAAATACGATGGAAAGTGTTCCTCAAGGAAAAATTATTCTGGACTGAATCTCACATAAAATATAGACAGGTATTTTCTGCAGTTTAAAGGCTGCCTGGAACATTTTTCTCATTCCCACAGCAAGTGAGATTGCAATTCCTTTCAACACCAGATTCATCCTTTATGTTCACACCCCTAAGAGCTACTTGCCTAGAAAGCATAAGTAACTTTAAGAGTAATTTTCACACAGAAGTAAATATACTCTGTTGACATAAGCTTGTTAGAATCACAGAATCACAGAATGTTAGGGACTGGAAGGGACCTCGAAAGATCATCTAGTCCAATCCCCCCGCCGGAGCAGGAACACCTAGACGATGTTACACAGGAAGGAACAATCCAGGTGAGTTCTGAATGTCTCCAGAGAAGGAGACTCCACCACCTCCCTGGGCAGCCTGTTCCAGTGTTCTGTTACCCTTACTGAGAAGAAGTTTCTTCTCAAATTTAGGTGGAACCTCTTGTGTTCCAGTTTAAACCCTTTAGCCCTCGTCCTACCATCGGTTGTCACCGAG